GGTACTGCTGTGCCTGGTTTCTCTCCTCCTCTCTCCCCAGCCCTAACCCTCCTTGCCCCCTCTCTCCCGCTGGTGCTGGGGATTGAACTGCTGGCCTCAGGCACACTCATCAGGTCCCCTCCCACTTAGCATATCCCCAAGAGAGTAAGTGGGTTTTAAATGTTCTCACAACCAAAAAATGGTTAGTATATTTGATAATGGGTATGTTAATTAGCTTGATTTTACCATTTTACAGTGTATTACACACATCAAAACATCATCCCTGTGATCCCAGCACTCTAGAACTCAAATTTAAGTCCAGCCAGTGCAATTTAATGACTTGGTAAGACCCTGCCTCAAAATAAAAAATACAAAAAGGCCTGGGGGTTTAACGGCTCAGTGCCAAGATCCTGGGTTCAATCCCCACTAGCGCACACACGCGCGCACACAAACACACACACACACTGTTGTACACCAGTGTTTCTTTCAATTAATAGGAAATATAAATACTTTCAAGATAAACGCAAGTGCTATGTGTCAACAGCGTTAGGAGGAGGAAAAAGAGAAATGGTCACAACGCGGTGGAGAGGCTGAGCCGTAACGGGCAGGACTCACAAGGAAGGCCGCCGTCAGGAGTTCCCACTGGAACGAAAGTTAGGACTACCCGTCTGTTCTCTGTGGCCTACCTGCCGGCTTTCTTGCTGCGGTCATCCTGAGCCATAGTTACTGGCCTTTTAAGTTAGGGTCAGATTTCAGCCTTGGCACACCTGACATCTGGGTTGAATACATCTTTGTTACAGGCTGTCTTATATATTCATTTTGGGATGCCTTGGAGCATCGTGGCCTTTAGCTACTAAACTTCAGAAGTAACCCTGTACCCCTAATTCAGAAGTAACCCTAACCCCTAATTTGTGACAGCCAAAACATGTCTCCAGACCTTTCACGTTCCCAGGAGTGGAGGGATTCTGTCTGGTTGAGAATCACCACTTTAGAACACAATTTTGGGAAAATTTGTTAGATCTCTTTGTGTTTGTTATCTGTGGCATTCATATTAACTTCTTGCTGCTGAAATACGATCTGCCACTCTCAATATTTTCCATTTCTCTTTTGTTCACAGATCTACTCTACAGGTCTTCTCTCTTCCTGGAAGAAAATGATGCTTTGAACATGCAGTATCCAATGAAATGGCAGCATGTCAAAGTGGATGCTAATAGCTGACCTTCTCATGTTCTGTTTATCTTACCCTTGCTCTTTGTTCCTTGAATGTGTCGGGGTTTGGGGGCTTGGGGACTGGGCATGGGGAGTTCAGATAAGGTCCTACTGTGTAGTCCAGGCTGGCTTTGAACTCACTCTGTAATCTGGGCTGGACTTTTAACTCCGTAGATCTTCCTGCCTCAGCCCCCAGTATACCACCTCACCCGGCCTCCTTATGTGAATGTGATCATGCACTATTTCTACTGATTCAGATACTTACAGACTTGTCTGCTTGGGGGCATTCAAAAGGCAGAGTAGGTTAACTGGTTTGGAACAAACCTGAAGGGAACAACTTTTTTTCTATATATGTATACTGCTGCAGGGTGTAGTAAGTATCCTTCATAAAAGAAAAGCATGTTTGTGAGCTCTTCAGAAAAAAATACAAGCCAGCAGGTTGAGAGATACCCAAACTGTCTGAGAAACTGGTGATGTGGGTTTGCTTATTGTTTCATAATTAAGTTTGCAGTGTACTGTCCATACTTGCAATTCTTTAAGCAATCTAAATTTCAGTCTTTGATTTTAGATTACTATTCCTAAATATCTGATACATATTTTAAAACATGTATATATTAAAAGATGCACTGTTAAGAGCCTTTCTCCTACTTCACCTTTCGTCCGCCAGCTAACCACTGATACTGTTCTTACTCTTCTAGGGTTTTTCAGGAGTAAACAAATACAGTTTCTTATTCCTCCCTTCTTTCACAGGGAAAATAGCGTATTTGACAGACACCATTCAGCATCCTGCTTTTTGCAGTGAAGGATTTCTGGGAGGCTTTTCCATTAGGTCAGTGTTCTTAAGCGGGGGCAGAAAAGGGAATCGAAATCAACCTGATTGTCAGGTAAATCCTTGTAACTTTATGCTATAAAAATGAAAATGCGTAGGATCTTTTAAAAAGTGGAATAATGTGTAAAGGTACGGGAGTCATACTTTTTGCTATTTTAAAATCTTAATTATTAGGGCTGGGGATTTAGCTCAGCAGAGCAGTGCCTGCCTGGCAAGTGCAAGGTCGTTGAGTTGGATTCCTGGTACCGGAAAGAAACAAACAAAATATCTTTTATTATTAAAATAAATACAATTTTTTTCACTTATAGCAGCACTGTAATTGTATGTGAGTCTTTACAGTGTCTGCGTAATACCTGCATTCATTTCCTTAGGTAAGTAACTGCGGCCTCTGCAGCTGAAATGCCATGGGAGCCTTGTAGCTGGGGTGGAGGCCCCAGTGCCCAGTATGAGGCGGGGCTTGTATAGAAATGAGCATACCAGGTCTGTCTTGTGCCACTTGATCTCAGTCCTTGCAACAACCTCATGAGGCAGGCAGTATTATCTCTTTATATATGGGGAAGGGACTCAAAAATTAGAATTTAGAGAGGCTAAACAATGTAGTAGGCTGGGGATGGAGTTCAGTGGCACACGCCTACCCGGCTGGTGGGAGGCCCTGAGTTCAATTCCTAGTACCAAAAAAAAAAAAACAAAATTTACTGAACCGTACAAAAAAACCAGGCTAGAATAACACTACACTGCACATCCTGAGATTTTTTTCACTTACCTAGGCCACATGCTAGAAAACCTGGAGTGCTGGCCTCAGAATATTCTTTTACCCCATCCTCTTCCTGCTCTCCCCTTGGCCTGCTGTGCCCCAGCCACCAGCTTCCTTGCTGCTCTGTCAAACACAACAGAGCTTGTGTGCTTTTGTGCTGGCTGTCTTCCCCAGGAGCCACTGGACTCTTCCCCCACCGCATCTAGCTGCATCTAGTATACCATTTTTTGTACTTACTTATTGCTAGCTGTGTTTCCTTCTAGAATGTAAACTTTATACAGTTAGGTATGTATGGGTATGTGTGTGTATTATTCAGTAATTTGCCAATCATTGATCTGTTATATTCAATGCTATATTCCAGCCTGAGATAGTGTATTTATTTATTTATTTATTGGGTTTTTTTCTGGTACCAGGAATCGAACTCATGACCTTGTGCTTGCCAGGCAGGCGCTGTGCCGCTGAGCTAAATCCCCAGGCTCCCTCTTTTTTGTCTGTTTGTTTTTTTGTTTTTTTTCGGTACCAGGAATCAAACTCACGACCTCGCGCTTGCCAGGCAGGCGCTGTGCCACTGAGTGCAAGGTATTCAGTAAGTGTTGGATAAATATTTGAACTGCTACTGTACTGCTTCTGAACTAGATATGATGTTAGGGGATAAAGGTGTAACTGTAACTAGGAGACATACAGTGCCCCTCCCCTCCATTGTCTGGAAATAACAGAACTGACTGAGCAATGATGATATACCATGTACCATGTTAGTCTAAGAAATAGTCACAGGAAGCAGGTATTATGTCTTCATTTTAGAAGTAAGAACTCAGGCTCAGAGAAGTTACATAATTTGTCAGAGGTCCTGCTGGTAACTGGCAAAGCCAGAATGCCAGGATAATCTATAGTCCAAATCTTGTTTCTTACCACCAAGACATCCATCCATCCATCCACACTTCCTATCTCATGTATCTCATGCATCCTTCTCACCAGTGAATTTGTATATTCTGCCTGTCAAAGACACAGAAAATCACTATCATAGCAGCACATTGTTTTGTGATAGTATTTTCCTGTAGGTTCATGGCTACTTTGAGCTTTCATCATGAGACATTAGCAAATAGTCTCTTAATCATTATAATAATATAGCAACTTCAGTCATTTGGCATATATTTATAATTATTTTTGGTTGGTTTTAAAAATTCTGACTTTGCCAGTAATAACATCTCACATTTCCCAGAGGAGGTGAGTTTGTCATAAATACCATTTCCGTAGAACATTTTAAGGAACTTAAAGTTCTTGGAAAATATTTTTAACAGGCAACCCTTTCTCAGTCAGACTTCAAGGGCATAATGCTGTGTAACCTTAAAAATGTATGTGATTATTATATCTTATTATGAGTACTTACATGCATTTATTGTACTGTTTAAAGTTAATTTATATTTAGATGTTCTTTTTGCATTTTAGTAAAGAAATCAAAAATGGATTCTGAAAAACATTCTGCGGTAGCCGTTAAATTTTCTTTAATCTCCAATGGTTTCTTTTCTTCTTATTCAGATATTGCACGTAGGTATTTGGAAGGTTAGAGTGATTCCTTTCTCTCAATACTTATTTATGAGTTGTTTTATTCTCTCCTTTTTAAAAAAATAAATTTGCTGGGCCTGGTGGTGCATGCCTGTAATCCCAGCACTTGGGAGGCTGAGGCAGGAGGAGTGTTACAAGTTCAAGACCAGCCTGGGCTATAAAGTAAGCTCAAGGCCAGCGTGAACTGTATACCAAGACCCTGTCTCAAAAAGACCAAAAAAAAAAAAAAATTTACAGAATATATTCTTTTCCAGACTATTCTGATGAAAGTCCCTGATTTTCATCTTTTTTAAAGACTTTCTTCCTTTACTTGGCTTTTTTTTTTTTTACCTTAATAATTGGTGTTCTGTTAATCAGATTTCTCATAAAAGGCCAAAGCAGGGACCAGTCATATGCCAGAGTACACAAGTTCACTGGTTTTCATCTCCTTACAGTCTGGCTTTCTATACAGAGGCAGTGGCTAACATGGTATGCTTGGGAAACCAAATATTTCCAAACTTATTAGTGGGAAATCCAAACTTTAGAAATTTAGAACCCATAACAGAGGCTTATGTTTTACGGTGACTACTGAAGTCACACTGTTTACCATAGAAACAGGGTAGACAGGAAACCAAGAATGTAAAATGCAAACAGTTTCGATCCTCAAGAGTGGACTTCCAAGGTTGCTTTTTTTTTTTTACATTTTTTATTTTAGCTGTAATAAGTATATAAGATACAAAGGAACAGGAAATTTTAATACATCGAATAGCATTTAGAAGTTACGGCAGGGAGTGGTGTGACTTCCTGCTATGCAAACAGACCATGAATCTCAGTGAATATCCTCCCTCTATCCTTACCTGCTTTTCTTAGTTCTTAAAGTTGACTGGTTTATGTCTCTTCTGTGATTTTGGAGAGCTGGAGTTTGGGCCATATGTAAAGTCTAATTATAGACAGGAGGAAATGTTTTATTCTAGAATCTACTGAAACATAAATGATGATTTTTCTTATATTTTGTATGTCCTTTTATATCCATTGTAAAAAATTAAAATTATTTTGGTCATCTGAGTCTTAATTTCCCCTTGACCAACAGTCCCAAGTGTTTGGGTTGTGTTTCCCTTTTCTGCTACTTCTGAGATCAGAAGACAGAACTGAACTCATGAGCACAGAGTTTGATCCTACTTCCTCTTCTCTAAGTCAAGTTCTCCTAAAATGAATGTGTTCTACAGAATATATTCAGCTTGCGTGAGGAGGACAGTTCCATCAAGATAATACAGTGGGGACATACATACCTAACACCCCAGCTACTTGGGAGGCTAAAGCAGGATTGCAAGATCAAGGCTACCCTAGTGAGACCTTTCCTCAAAATGAAAATTTTAAAAAGGACTGGAGATGTATATATTTGAATACCTACTATATATATTCCAGTGCTCAGCAAGACGTCTGCCAGAGATGCGAATAATGACTTCTATTCCACTGCTTTTGGCCCTGGGTCTGCTACTGATTTTGTCCCTTAGCATGAGTGTCTCCTATTTTGTTACGATTATCTACTGAAGAAAAGTTTATTACAAAGTTAAAGAAAAGGCAGTAGTGTACTTCATGTATACACTGTTTGAATACCTATCCAGTTTTGCTTTAACCATTTCTTTGTGATTTTAATTTTAAGACAGCGCAAATGATTTCATGTGCTCCGTAGTTGTAAAAAGTTTTTGAAAAAAGCACTGACTTTACCATCCTTCACTTTTAGAGTACCATTCTAACCAAAAACAAGGGAAAAAGCCAAACCCAATTGCTAATTTAAAATGCACTTCACTGTCACAGAAGCGGTGTGTCCTACCTAACAGGCAGGAAATACTGGGCCAGCATCTACTACCAAGTTAGTCAGGCCTTGCCTCACCTGCCAGTTACCCCAGCTGTAACCTGAGGAGAGCATACCATTGCTTCCCTTTTCATTCAGAAAGCTTCTGAGGATCCTCAGATCTCAGTTCCACAAAATAAAAACCTCCAGCGATGTTTAAATTCCTTCTTTCCTCCTCCCTGTGTGGGGCTGTGCACAGGTTCACCTGTCAGGAGAGATTAAGGCTCCTCAGGTCGCAGTGGCTCATCACTAGACTGAAAACCACTGAAATTTCGTGAGGTTCAGATTCATTTATGAAAGTGTGTGTTGTTGTCTTTAAAAACAAAGGAGTGTTACTCTGATGGCCAGATAATGGATTTAATAATGAGAGTTTAGTTCCTAGCCTCTTTTCTCATTTTACCTCAGGTTCTCTTTTCATAGCAAACGTCCAAGGAATAAATCTACCATCCTTCTCGGAATACCGCATTCAGTAGCTCTGCGTTTCAGTTCCCGTCTTTCTGTGAGTGTTTCATCCTGCCTGATTCCCCTTTTCCCGTGAGTCCCCCTTCTCAAGTCTCGCAGTCCTTACAGTTTTACGACACAAAACATTGCTATTTCTGTGTCCCCTACATGGGTCTCAGCTCTGTGCACACTTGCTGACCAGATGATGGAGAGGTGCGAAGCATTTTCTTGGGGACTGTGACCTCCTCTCAGGCTGAATGGTGCCTGCGGTTGTCAGAATTTTCTGCTGTTCTTAGGGTAGAGGGTTTTGTTCCTCTTGTTCCTGTCATTTCTGCAAAGGGAGGGTTATTCAGTGAAGTGAGGAATTACTTGAAGACAAATTTAGATTAAGTACAGATAGAGAAACTTGGCCAGAGAATCTTAACTTTGCCTGTGATTCTTCATACACTTTGGTCAGCCTAATGAATTTTATGAGACTAGAAGAAGAATTTTATGGGGTGTGATCTTGGGGAAGATAAGTGGAATCACAAATCACTTGATAGAGTTGTAACCTTTGTTTGAAAGGCCCCCATATGTTCAGTTGTATGCAAGCCTCAAGGATCATATGCAACCTCAAACATAACTGTATTTCTTTTAGTAATATGTGTTTATCTTAATAATACATGAGTTGATGTTATTTTTATTTTTTGTGGCACTGTGTATCAACTCAAAGCCTGAAGTATGGTAGGCAAGCACTTTACCGCTGAGCTATAATCCCAGTGCAGTGTTATTTTTAAAGAATAATTCTCCCTTTAGTAGCAAGGGATTCATTAAAAAAAAAAACCCACAAAACGATTCACTTCTGCGGTTCCCAGTTAGCAGACTAACAAGCAGAGGCAGCAGGACTAGAGCATCTCACTGCACTCCCGTCTTCCACAAAAATTGAAGACTTTCTCTTATTCTCACCAAGCTTGTAGGTCAGACGGCTCCTTCCTTTTCTTCAGATTTATCAGCAGGTACATACCCATAAGTCTTGTCCACCCAAAAATGATGAACATTTTACATTCCTTTCATGCTCTGTTTTCAGGATTTGTTTTTGTTGGGTTTATTTTAAAATTTTTTTTGAAAGAGGGGAAAAAACCTTAGTTCACCTTTAATCTTTTGTTCCAGGATTGGTGGGCCATGAGACACAGTAAGTCCCGCAGGTTTGCTTCTGTCATAGCAGCCTGTCTGGAAGGGCTGACCACAACTTTGAGGCTGCTGTAGCTACAGTAATTGGGAGTTCTCCACTTTAAGTGCTACAGCTATGTTAGGCTATTGTGCACATGCATGTAAACTCTTCCTCACATTACCTCCCCTTTGTTTAGCTGCTGTTTCTTAATATGATCAATAACTGGCATTTTTCATAGACTCTGCTGTAATTGATGTTCCCTCAGAGGCTACTGCTCACTATATAGTCTCTGCCCAGTAACAAAAAATGCACTGGGTGAAAACAGTATTTTTTTTTTATGTTCAGGAAACCAAAGACGCAGGAGGCTAACCCAGTAAGAAAAGTAGAACTCAGATTTATTGACCCATTACTACTAGTTAGTCTCATCTTGGAGACAGCACAATTTGTGCATCTCAGTTCAGTGTCACTAGCAAGCAAGCTTGGCAGCTGACTTTATTCTACGGTAGGTTTCAAAAAAATATTCCCATGTTATCTTTACTTTTTATGTACAGCTGGCCTCTCTTATCATGGTTTCATCAGTCTGGGGTAAGGCCGTGATTGAAGTCTTCTGTGTAAGAGGCACTGGTGATCTTCACCTTTGCCATTAGTACAGTGTAAGAGGTGCAGCTGGGTGTAGCTAGATTAGTGTGTCATAGTGTGTGGTGAACATAGTTGTTGGGTCTGTTGTCCTGTTTGTACTTAGGGCAGCACTGGCGTTAGCTAGCTAACTTTGAAATTACAGAAAAATTACTCCTCTTCTGCAACATCTGGCTGATATAAATTTAGATATAAAAAGGGTACACAGATACTTTGGAGTGAAAATATGTGCTTGAGAAAAGGCAATCTGCTGGTTTCTAGTCATTGCAAGGATAAGGCCTTTGAGCCCCATGACTGCATCTTTTATGCCTTCAGCTGAGGCATAGAGATTAGAGAAATTCAGAGGAACCGCCCTTCATTAAGGCTAACCCCACCGTAGCATGCTTGTCCATACTTTGCTGGAGTGCATTCCGTTCCCTGTGGCGATTCACCTGGTACTCTTTCACCACCTTCAATCTCATTATTTTGGGGAGGGAGTTACAATGAGGTAGGTGGAGGTGGGCAGAGACCAAACAAGCATCTGGCTTGGTCTGCCTACACAACACACACTGGATAGTACAAAGCCGATTCACTATCTTGATTTAATCTGAGCAAAGTCTGTATTCAGGTTTTTGTGTAAGTGAGTTATATGTGGTTTACAAGGGATAAGAGATTTGTTGGGGGCTCCTGGACAAGATCTAGAACGGGCCCTCCCTAACCTACCACTACTGCTAAGAAGCTTTCAGTTTATTCTTTCATACATTTATACAACATTTTTGTCTCAGTGACACAACTACTAACTGTGTATAGCCAGGTGCTAAAGCAAAAGCTGGTTGCAAAACTGACCTCAGAGGAGTTTATAATTCAAAAGACAAGTAGTCAGTGTATAATTCAGTGTCACCTTACAATCTGTAGTATGAAAGAAAGTAAAGTTATCATTAGGAGCTTACAGCTTTCATAGGTGACTTGCTTTGCATTTTGGGGGAGGTTTTTTGAAGACATTGAGTCACCCTGAATTTTGAAAGGGAGCTTGCTAGCTGGGGACCTCTGAGGAGTACAGAATGCTTAGCTGCAAGATCTGAGAAGTCACTTGTCGGGTGAGTAGTTCAGACCTGAATGTCTCTGACCACAGAACACACCTCAGGCACCTATGACCCTCCAGGAAGAGTGGGCTTTGCCATCCAAATGATCTTTGAAGTGTGCTTATCATCTGTTTTCTGTGTCCTCCTTTTACCTCCCTCATTACTGTAGCCTGACTGAACTGTATTTTCACTGCTTTCCTTTCTTACTGTCACACTACTTATTAACAAGAACTTTGAACCTTTCTAGTCTCTTTCTTAATGCGTTCTGAATCCAAATTACCACTTACAGTGCCAAGGCTGTTTCTGGAGCCTTACTGGCCTCTCTTCCTACCCCTAATTAAAAAAGAAATCAGTGGTGGGTTGCAGTCCAAGAATGCGGGGACCCTGGCTCTGCCTGAGTAGCTTATGATTTCCTAAGCAAGTTACACTATAGATGTGAGTTTCTTCTATGAAGTGAGGCATCTGGATCAGATGACCTTCACCGGCCCTTCTAGCTGCACAGTTCCGCGACTGTTACGTGGCAGCGGACAGTGTAGGTGGGTTTGTATGTCCACACTTCCTGGGACCTGAGCTACTCCATGATCCATCTGGTGGAACTTATCAAGGTGCTTCTCAAACTCACACGTATGGAATTGAACATTAGCTATTACGATGTAATGTATGCTCTTTTCTGCTGACAACTGTCCTTTGGGCTAGAACCAGTAGTTACCCTAAATAGCAACAGCTAGGTGTATGTCTGTACCCCTATCTGTCTCAAAGATGCACTTACCTAACTTTGACATGCCTTCTCCCTCCTCCCACACACACACACACTCTTCACGCTTGTCCTTAAAGCTAGCGTGGCATTCTTAATAGTGAGTATTTGGGACCCAGGACAGCGGACGAATGTGGGGCTGGTCAGACTGGAGAAGGAACACTGCCAGTGCTCCTCACTGTTCTCGGGCTCAGAATTAGAACTGCTGCTGTCCTCTCCCGACCTGCTAAAGCATCTGAGAGAGTAAGCATGAAGACGGAGTGTTTCTTCCTGTCTGAGAAGGGACCAAGCAGATTTGCTTGGCAAGCCTTCCCACCTTTGTTTGACCAGCTTTCCCAGCCAGAGGCACGGCACTGTGAGTGTAGATGAAGGTGAGGAGAGTCTCAACTTTGCTTTTCAGACACAGGGGGATGTGGAACAGCTTACCAGTTTTGATGATGATTTAAAGCATGTAAATTCTACCTTACTTCACATGACAGCTGGAGAAAGCTCTAAAAGTCTTTGCAGCATGCAGTAAGCCTAAGTGGCTGGGTTGGTAGCTCAGAAATACTTAAGACAGTGGCAAAAGCAGCCACAGAAATATCCCCTTACGTGTGTGTGATGCTAGCTGAGTATGTGGTATTTCTCTGTCTTGAGATCCTTAAGTAAATGTCGTTTACAGAAACAAATCATTTAAATTAAAGCTAAATGCACAAATTAAGTAAAAATTATTTTACTGAATACACTAAATACACTAAAAATTATTTAAAAGTAAAGATATGGCCTAGAGGATTCGGTAAGATATGTTAGATTTTTCAGAGATAATGACTGGGTATGTGAACAGCAGATGGGCTCTGAGTTCCTGAGGGAGGTGGAGAACTATACTGCTTTATATCCCCTGATTATTACTCTGTAATATCCTTTCGTGTATATAAACACTTCTCTTCCTGCTCCCTTTTCCTTTTTTAAGGTCTAATTTTTTTTGGCCCTATTCACCTTGTGAAATACTCTCTTTGTCCTGAAGTACTAGATAGGGACAGGATATGACTTAAGAAAAATTATTGGAATTTTACTCCTCTTCTCTTTTTACTTCATCTGAAAATCTATGTATCACCAAAGGTAATATTTTGGAGTGAAAGGGACAGAGAACCCTAAAACAAAATTCACAGTTTTTAAAAGGCAATTAATGGAGATTGCAAGATGACTGGAAAATTAAATTAGTCAGAACTTGATTTGTCTTTTCACATCGGCTTTTTTGTTGTTGTTATTGTTTTAACTTTTTGTTTTTTTCTTCCGGTACCGGGAATCGAACTCACAACCTCAGGCTTTCTAGGCAGGCGCCCTACCACTGAGTTAAATCCCCAGCCCTTTCACACTGGCTTTTAATCTATGTCACAACACTAGGTAGACATCGCAGAAAAGCGGTGATTAATGGGTTAATTGCTATGAAGATGCAAATGAACTTGTTAAGCATAAAATTACTGTGTGTTTTATTTGGAAGTGTGAAATGCACGTCCATTCCATCCAATACATTTTTTCCATCACACAGATTAACCTAAGGACTAAAGAACACTCCCCCAGAGAGCCCACTGTGAGATACTGTATATCCATGATGACGCTTGTTGGACTTCCAGTTTTAAAACAAGTCTTAATATGTGATTGTTCTTTGAACTGTGGCTTAGAGCTAACAAATGGAAAAAAGCGTGGAGTGTTAAAGTGCGGCATATAGAAATGTTAAAACTGGTGTTTCTCTGCTTTTAAAAAATAAAAAGGAGAGGGAAACAGCTGTTAGAGCTTTGATAGAGGTGGTGATTTTCAGCAGTTTAGCTGCAGTTTATGGTACAGATGGTACTCTGGGTATAGCTGAAACAATAATTGATGGTTTCTGCCCCCTCCTCCTCTGCGAGATTCAAAAGTGCAGAATACCTTTTTCCCAAGGCAGGAATTTTTCAGTTTCCAATTACTGCCTGTATTGAATAAACAACTCTTTTATTGCGTATTCTGTACTGGGCAGTGACTGGGTGTTGGCCCCTCTTTTTTCATTATGGTAGGCTCCCTAGGTTTGAAGTACTAGGGGGAAATCCTACTTTTGTCCATACTAACCTGCAGTTTACATAGCCTATCTTCAGTGAAAACAACGTAATTTTTCATTTAGAATACAAAACCACGTCTTCCATTGGTCTAAACAAAATTAGCAAAACAAACAAAAAGCCTTGTAAGAAGCAAAAATGGTAGGTACCGGTGTCTTATACATTAAAAAAAAAAAAAAATGAACTAGAGCAGTTACTAGAAACATAGATACTTTCCAAATTTTGAGCATATTTTTAAGAAATGTTAGAAATGACATATCTTCTTGTGTCTGACTTTGCCTGTTACTGACAAATATAAATAAAACATGCATTTGTTACACCCCCAGGTGGTTATAGTACTTTTCTGTTAAATTTTTACTAAACATTCAGATAGTTATCTCAGATGGTCTTTTCACTACCAACAGTATTAAGCACTTTTAATCTTTAACCGTCAGTGTACAAATGACAGCCCATGGATTCTGAATCTGTACTGTGTATTCTTACAAAACATGGAGACTAAAAAGGGAAGTAATTTGGTCACACAGTTCTTCAAAAGTTTTGTCTCACGATCTATGCGCATACCAGATAAAATTTGAGTGAGGTCATTCTTTCATGTCTTCATTATTCTAAACTTAACACAGTATACCTTCTATTTTTTAATTCTTCAGTCACTGTCCCGTAAGGATTCCTTTAGAGGAAAGCCTGCTCGAGATTTAGACGTAACTGCTAATGGTTACAAAGCCAGCGATTAAACTGTTCTAGCGGCTTGGTACTTAGCTTAGTACCTGTTACGCGTTACCGCACCGTGCTCTGGGGAGAGCGCACCTTCAGCGCGGCCCCGGAGCGAGGCGGGACGGACTCCGCCGGCGGCTGCTCGTGCGGAGCGCCCGCGCCGGCAGGCAGCCCGGAGCCCCTGGCGCTCGGGGTCCGCGCTGCCCCGGCTCGGCGCGGCGGAGGGGAGCGGCGCGGGGACGGGACGGGACCGACGGGGACGGACGGGGATGGACGGGGACGGACGGGGACAGGACGGACGGGGATGGACGGGACCGACGGGGACGGACGGGGATGGACGGGGACGGACGGGGACAGGACGGGGACAGGACGGGGAAGAGACGGACGGGACAGGACGGACGGGGACGGACGGGGACGGGACGGGGA